GCAGGGCATCTAAGATCGCCATCAAGGTTGTGCTGGTAAGCAAACGAGCACTGGCAGCTTGGGGGCAAGACTGTCTACTGTGATGATGTGACCGAGGGACATGCACAGGCTGTATTTTTGGTACCCGCATGGTGCAGGACTCTAAAACGAGAGCAGACGCTCGCCRTCTTGATCCCACGTTTAGGGGATCTTGTTACTGTTTACAGGCGCTGCCTTCCTCGCTGTCTGGAGCAGATTGTCTCTTCCTGAGCCTTTACCAAAGGTCTTGTTTGCACACGCGGGCATAGGGAAAAATGTAGTGCCGAAAAGCAAGGAGCTGTCTTGGTATTCCCATACCATCCTGGACGTGCCAGCCTTCCTGGAGACGGTCCCTTCAAATGCTGAGCAGCTGATGTCCCCTCCGTCCTCCTTTCCCATCTCCTAGCAAGCTCAGAGACAGACAGGAGGCTTCCCAGTGACTTAGTTATCCGCATCAGCCTAAAGCTGATGCCAGTGCCGCAAACCTGGGGACGCTACTGGGACAGAGCTGGCTCTGTCCCCACCAAAACAGTTCATATCGTCTCTGAATAGGAGAACTTCCCCTTTTCAGTCACAGAGGAAGCAGAGGACTGAAGACTTCAAAGCTTTTTAGGACCTCTGGGCTTGCCAAGCTGGTCCAGATATTGAAACAGTGGTCTCGTAAAATAAATCTTGCAAATAATCTTGCAAGGCCTCCCAGTGCAACTACATTGGCTTGGCCTTAACTGTTGCTGTGAAGGAAAGCGTGCTGGACCTGTCGTTGTCATTTGTTCCTCTCTTTAGAGAAAAGCAGCAAGAAATGAGGTCACTGRGGGCTCAAAACTTCAAGCTACCCTTGGCAAAAACTATTTGGGGATCTTGGAGTCRTCTGGATTTTGCATTGCTGACGTTCCCATCAATTAAATGTCAGAGGTGGCTCTGCGTCCTTTCTCGGGCACCCTGCTTACAAGAGCTCAATACAGGACACCCCTTCAGAGGGGGAATTGCCTGCTTTAATAAGGTGTGCAGTGCTTGACTATTGGTATTTCTTCACCCAAATAYGAATGTGAATGTCCACATGGAGTACTGGGTGATGGAGAAGGCAGCGCTTTCCTCTGCAGTGCCCTTTCCTTCAGTTCCTGGATCATTTGTGTCTTACAGATGCAGCGTGTGCTGCATCCTTGCACTTGTCCTCTTGACCTACAGTTGCTGTTCAAGGTTAGATAAGAATAATTGAGCATCAAGTGTTGCCATTGGGGTTCCCTGCAACCCCATTTTGAACTTGTTTGGAGGTGCACTGTCTGCTTCTCCGTGTGTCACCTCAGAGACAACGCACAGGTGACAGCAATGAGCTTGAAATGCACCATCCTATCAGCTTTTCAGTAAACTACAAAAGCGTCTTGCAGWTCTAAAGCACCGAGCTGACAGAAGCAGTAATAGGTAGCTGCCCAAGAATAGACTCTAACCTTTGCAAGCCCTTGTGCTTCACTGCATGTGAAAACTGACTGCTCCGACAGACAGGGTGCAGTGCTGGCTCCCGTGTCCGTTCCAGCATGAGCAGTGGCTTTTGCTTGAATTATTCTTCCTTCTCYCCTACAGCGAAGTCCCTTTAGCCTGACAAGCCTTAAATACAAGCGACTCCCGTGTTGTTGCTTGCTTCGTAGTTGAACTGCACACAAATAGGAGACCTTTTTACCCCACTCCTGAAGAGTGCAGCGATGTGAAGGGGACTGCCTGCAAGGTTTGTCTGTACCACGTAGCCTGTAAGCACTAGGTGAGTGTAACTACTGGGACATTATAAATAATAAAGCTTTGCCTGTCATATGTTCCTGTTTGTCCCCTGCAGTTCATTAATGATGTTCTCTGTGGACATTGCCAAAGCTGTACATTACATGAGCCRGGGGCACCTGCTTCTTGTTTGGGGATGTTGTCCTCCCCTAAGACTGGTGCCTTAGAGCAGGCGAGCAGCCCTTCTCTTCCCCGGAGCCAGCAACAAGTGGGCAGCCTTCACGGGCAGCTGATGGGTACCTGGCCAGCAGTGCCCTCCAGGCAGACCTCGTGTTGCATCGGGCATCTCCGGGCACCTCGTGCCGTTTCCACAGGCAGACGGGCCCCTCTGCAACTCTTGCTTTCCAGGCAGGTGGAGCTTGGTTGTTATTGGCCATGTTGGCTTATTTCAGGGGAACAGAGGTCTGCTTTTAATATGCCTTTCTATAGGCTTGTCTTTCCCTTTTCRCTTAATTCCCAGAATCATATCCAGGATTGGGAAGATAGTCACCTTAGTGACTTAGTGTAGTTTTAACTTSTGTCAGGTCGGTGTTATCACAGTTTCTGCACCAAAGACTGACACATAATGGTAGGTCACTGATACTCCTATGACCAACATGRAAGTAGCAGAGGCTGAACGGGGGTAAATGGAAGAGCTTTAGGTGCAGTTGCTCCAGCTTTAAGGTCAGTATGTGTAGTTGCAGTGTTGTCTTTTCAGAAGCGTATTGGCATTTAATTGAGGGGATGGATATTGCACACCAGCACATCTCCTGMAAACCTGCTTCTGCCTAGTGCTCTAATATGGTGCTACTGAGATGACCCATGTGCTCCAAGCCTGGCAGATAAAGACTGCACAACTTCACTTTTTATTTCAATTGTATTGTCATGATTGGATCTTCGAAATGTCAAGCTATCTCTTCATGGCTTATCAATGGAGAGCATGTCTTGCATGCTACTGAACCAGCTCACGAGCATCTCCCACCAAACAGTGAAGTTCTCCATCTTCACTGTTCCAAACAGCTTTCTCCACCTCCTTATGCGTTAATAACTGAGAGAGAAGGGAAATGGCAAAAACTTGTTTGCTCTATTCATTATATTTTGGATAGAAAGGCACAATGAGTCCTAGAGAAATAAGTGGCTTTTACAGGTGCCAAGCTCCAGGTTTGCATAAAGGAAGGGAAATCTGCCTTAATGCTGCTGTTCCTTCCCTTAAAATAATTACTCTTTCAGGTCTGGGTGCTTCCTAGCAGAGGGCAATAGAACATCAGAAGGGTTTCAGAAAAGGGCGTCAGACAATTGGAGGCTTTGGGAAAGATCYTATATTGAGAGGATCGTGAAGATAACTATCTTCTTGTAAAAGATATGAAACAGGTACAGGGTAATGAATGGGTGAGGAGATAGATGGGGACTTCTGTTGCCACTTGTTAATAATATGAAGCCAGATTAGGAGGTGGTGAATTCACTACCCGTGAAAGGACTTTTTTGTTCACAGCCACTGTGTTATGCGACTCGTTGCCACAGGATAAATCACTGATGACTTCTGAATTAAAAAAGAGGAGGGAGGGAGGGAATGGTATAAATCAGAATATCCAGGCAGCTGCAAAGATTGGGAGAACTGAAATGTTTTGAAAAGACTGGAAGTATGTTGATTTATAAGGTATGAGCTAACTGCTCCAACTGCTGGGGCTACGGAGGATAATTTTCTACCTCTGCAGAGGTTTTTCCATAGACAAGTTTGCAGCGTGTTCCCCTTGTGCCACTGGYGACAGAGAAGGGAGGCTGCTGTTCCCCTTGGGTCTGGTAGCAACCCCTTGCCAGCCATCCTCCTGCCAGGCTTTTCAGGATCGATAAACTGGCACCTAAGCTGGGATGCCTTGGCTTTCCTGAGGGTTTGATACCTTTGYGTGTCAATTAGATGTGGAGTGAAGCTTTATCTCCAAGTGGAGCAGTTTGGGCCCTCGGGCAGGCGGGATCTGGGGCACAGGGAGCCCCAGGAGCCAGAACTGTGCTCACGGCCACCAAAATAGGCTGCGTCAAAGGGCAGCGTGAAGCCGTGGAAGAGGTTACTAAAACAGAGTTGCCCTTTTATATCATTACTGTTTATCTATGTAGTTGGAAAAGCAAAGGGTACGAGCTTGTTTCGCCCAAAAGCTGGAAAATCCCATTCCCTTGTCCATGCTCCTTAACGCTGACAYTTTGCATCCTTCAGGAAATTACTTAGCGCCTATTTTCTTGGGGGAAAAACACGGCYGTGCTTACTTTGAAGCCACCATATAAACATGTCATTTCAAGCAGTGGAAAAGAAGCTTGCGAGCCTCGCGGCCCGCYGGCGGTGTGCGTTTGTGTTAAAGGCCGGCGCGCGTGGGACGCAGCCGGGATGGATGAGATGGATGAGARCAGCTGCCCAGCACCCAGAAGCACCCCCCGAAAAAGAAAAAAAGAGGTTGCTGAACTTCCAAAATAGAGGTATAAAAGGGAGCTAAATTTAGAGGCCCTTCTGCAGTGTCATCTCCTGTGCCGCCGTGGGACTTGCTGTCCTCCTTGCTCAGGGGGAGGACAGACACCAAATGCCRGCGGGCCTGTTCCCACATGATAAATGTGTTTGTGGGGCTCGGCGGCGCGCGGCGGGAAGCAGTCCACAGGGAGACGGGGCGAAACACCCCGGCACTGTCAAAATGGGGGGAATGACCGACGGTGTGGAGTGGAGGTGGTGGTAGCAGAGGGGTTGGAGTCCGTGAGAGTTTTATTGCACCCCCCGAGGCGGGAAAGGCCTCTCTGGAAGCCCTGCTTCCCTGGGGCTCCTGCGAGCTGCGCRGAGGCGTTAAGCCCGTTCCTGAGGCAAAAGCTGCCGTCTTCAGCAACACCTCAACCCGGCTGCGGCTCGGGCGTGCGTTTCGGAGGCAGCACCAGCCCGGCCCGCTCCCCATCGCGGGTCCCGGGCAGCGGCGCTGCTCAGCGCACCTCCTCCCCTCACACCAAAGCAGCGGCCGCCTTAAGGTCCCGGCTTGCGCGTTTGCTTTTTTTGTGTTTATTTTGCTGCTTTTTTTCCCCCCTGTTTTTTTTCAGAGCTGCCCAACCTGATGTCATTTCCCTCTTGCAAACAGCCCAGCTCGTCTGCGTCGGAGATATGTCACGGGGGGGCGGTGGGAGGAGGAGGAGGAGGAGGGGGAGCCAGCGCGCGGCCCCGGCCCCTGTTTACTTTGCATTCCCAGCCGAGGAAGCCCTGGGTTAAATAGGATCGCGGGCGCGCGCCGCCCGCAGCCGCCGAGGAAATGGTTCCCGTGGGGCTTTAAATGCCGCTGTTCCCGGGCGCTGGCGTGGAYGATGAGCCTGCAGCATGCCTTTCCTGTTGGGTCTCAGACAGGTAACCGGCTTCGGCGCGGCCGCCTCCGCTCCTTCAGCTGCAGGATGCAACTTATTTCCTTTTGTTTTTTCTTTTTTTTTAAATAAGGAAATKACTCTGGCTCTCACAGAAGAGCACAGTCCTTCGGCGACTCGAGAGCTGCTCCCTTGCTTGCAAAAGGGAGCAAAACAGCTCATGGGGAGCTGCACCGCTCTGGTTTCGCTCCTGCCGTAGGACTAGCAGCGGGGCGGCTCCTTCTTCACTAGTTCTCCCGGAGAGTTTCTGCTTGGTTGGTTTTTAAGGGTGTTTTCCACAGCACTTAATGCAGGGACGTGTTTACATTGCTGGAAAGTCATGCCAAACTTCGGAACAGTTTTCTCGTGTGGGCCATATTGTGAATGCTTCTGTATGTTTTTAATGTATTCGTAGCAATATCTCTAGGTGCTCTTTTGCAAAGGTCGCCAAACAGAAAGCAGAAATGTGCTGTGAGCCCGGGCTTGGGGACTGACTGAATGTTCTGGACAGCTTCTGCTTGGGAAAAACAAACAAACAAACAAACTTGAGATAATTTAGGAGCCGGTAACATAGAGAGGAATGAGAAACGGTAGCAAGTGCCCAGCTGCTGCCTGCYTGCCTGCCAGAGGGTGCCAACTATTTGTTCTTGGGCTTCGGGGAGAGCAAACCCTTTTTTTGGTCTGGGAGGCATGTTGCGGGGGAGTCTGGCTGTAAGCTCTTCCCAGTGCTGCTGGGATCTGTAATCCACAATAAATAGATATTACGTGATAGCAGAGCGCTGCAGAGGGCTTCTTGTTTGAATTAAAATTTCAAGCTGTATCTGAAGCGTGTTTTAAAGCACCTCCTTTCTGTGGCTTTGAAACAAAGGCAGAAGGGCTTGCAACACACTGCTGAGTAAACACTGCTGTCTCTTCTCCCTTATCAGCTCAGTTTTTGGTGAAATGCAGCTTCCCCCTTCACTCCCGCTCTGCTGATTTGACAACAGTTTTACATAAGGAGCTGCCTCTTGCACGATGACCTTCTGGGTGCAATAGCTGTAATAACAGCTCCCTTGGGAGCACGCAGGGCAGAGAGACTGTCCCTAAAGATCCAGGAGCTGAACCAAGAAGGCAAGTTGGGCACGAGAGCACCCACAGGGAGGCTCGGCCAGCTTAAAACTTCCCATTGGGGCTAGTATCACGGCGGTGTTTTTTTAGGGGAATCCTTCTGGGTTTTGAAAGCCTTTCAGGATCAGAAGGTGCAAAACCGAAAGTCAGGTGTGCTTCAGTTTTATTTGCTCCAGCTGTGACCACTTTTCTGTCTCGGGGTTGGTTGTTTTCATTTTTCTGTCGTCTTTTTTCCTTATTTTCCTCTGTTTGCAACTTTTTTAGCGCAGACGCAGAGGCAGATACAGGAAATAGGGAAAGGTGTTGCCCCAAGACYAGCTGAGCCTTTGGATGTTTTTATCCACTGATGAGGCTAACGGTGGGAAAGAGCTGCTTGGGGAAGTGCTGGAGCTTTGGTTTTAATCATTTTTCATCCTAGGAAACCTAAATATTTARGATGGTGTCCTGTAATAAAGTCAGAAGTTACTTTGCTCACCGCCCAGAGGGGAGAAGGGTTGTTAGTGAGCAGTGCAACTTAATTAAAATAGAGGGAGGAACTTGGGAACATCTCATCGTGCATCTGTGCTTGCCTTGGACTGCAAACTTTGGGGTGTCAGGGATTTATTTAATGTAATGTTTTGGCTGCTGCCATAGGGAACAGTAGCGTAGCCCTGGGATGAGGCTTCCCGGGACCCGGGCCGWGGTGTTGCAGCGTGGCAGGAGGGCTGTTGAACACCTGAGAACTACCAACTGCTGTGGCCTTTATCGGGTCAAAACCAAGCCAGCTTTTAACATGCCTGGGTTGGKGGCTAGATTGTGATTGCATGTCAGTGCATACGGCCAGCAGCCTTTGATTCAGTGGTTCAGGAGGAAGAAACAATGATCTTTCAGGTCTTTACTATTATTTTTTTTTCAGAAGTACGTGTTGCAAAGGGGCTGATGCCTAAATGCCTAAAAGCCAGGTCAGCTCCCCGACGTCACTGTGACGTGGGGGTGTTTTTAAAGCTCCCGTCACAGGAAACGGGACAGTGGCGGATCCTGTGAAGTGAGCAGTTCCCCTTACGGTTGCAGTTGGAAGCTTGGACACGCTTATGCAATTTGTTGCACGTACACAAAAAAAGCCAGCAGTACAACAAGGTTAACATGTTGAATCTTATTTTTTAAGCTTTCGGTTTCAGCTCTTGAGGTTTCCAGTGCTGTGTTCTGGCTGCTGGCTCCCAAGGGCGCAGGCTCCGGGCTGCGGTTTCCTGGAAGCTCTCGCTGCTGCAGGAGCCGGAGTAAACGTGCAAGAAACAAAAATGAAACCAGCTCCTATTAAAGYGTATCAGCGTGTCCGTGATCTCTGAAAGGACAGCGTCCCTTTAAACATTTCTGTTTAAAGTGTGAGCATTTCTCCAAGGTAAATGGCTGCTCTAAACCCGTTTGCTCCTCGCATAAAGGTTAATACAACCTTGGAGGTTCAGCATCTTTTCAGGGTGATGATGTATTTGTTCTGGTTAGTTAACCTTGGCGTTTTGAATACGATTCTGCTGCTGTTGACATTAGCAAAGCGAAAAATATCGTGGATTAGACTGCGTAGTTTGGAGATCTTTGCTGTGCCTGGGCCGATTTGGAGTAGTACCTGCCCTGTTTATTATACTTGAAATGTCTCCGTGTTTGTGTTCAACGCGGGTTTCCCTGCCACAGTCAGGAAACTGAACTTTGTTGAGGGTGTGCCCTGTCCGGGCCTAATCTCTTTGCTGGCCTCAGCTGGCCGTGCTGAGCCGTGCAGGAATTTGTCCCTGTGCTGCTGGAACCTGCACTTCCCAGAGCAGCTGCAGCTGCTTGCGCCTTTACCAGAGCTACCTGGCTCTCTCAGTTCACATCACCAAGGCACAGCACTTACCCCAAATGATTTTTTGTTGTTTTTAACATTGCAAAGGCCTGACGTTTTACCTCCTTTGTGAGGTTGGGCATTRCAGTCTAATACTTTATCCAACAGTTGCTCAAGTCCCTTATCTGCACAGGGACTCTCGTTGTCTTTCTGTCTTGCTCATCTTGTGTTGTGTTTGCCCGTCAGGAGCTGTTGGGCAGGGCTGACAGCACTAGTGATAGCTCAGTATGGRCTTGGGTAAGAGCCAAGGGGTAACTCTAAATAGCAGGATTAAATACAGGTTTTTCTGCTTGTTATTACCAGCATATATTTATGATAAGGATAATCGCTTCCATTCTCTTACTTCTCTTACTGTGGATAATTAAATAGTAGGTATGGTTCAAACTCTGCAAGCTACTCGCAATACATTGTTTTTATTTTGTCTTTCAGAAGGTTGTGTCATCTCCAGTCCTTTGTTCTTTGCAATTACTATGAAAAACAGTGTTTATCATTTAGGTTGTGGTCATAGATAAGGGCTGCAGTTTGAAAGCATTTATAATATGACATGAACTTGTGGAACAGAACCAGGTTTTGGCTGGTTGAGAAACAGGTGAAGGGCAGTCTTAAATTAGACTGGCAGCATAAAATATTTTTGGTCACTTGCTTAAATCTGCCTTGCTGCGTCGTCATGGGTGAGTCTGGGTGYCAAAAGTGAAGGGCTGCTGCCTGCAAGCAGTGCAATTAGTAAAATAACTAGGTCAGGATTCATTTGTTTATTTAAAGGAGTGCTTGTTCCCAAAGTTCACTATGGGAAGAGCTCTGAAGCCAGAAGATCAAGAGCAGTGGCTGATTTGGGCCTCAGTCTTCTTAAAACCAGTAGCAACGTGGGAGTCGGGAGGCCAGAAGTCTCCCCATCAGCCACGTCCCACTGCTGGTGTCTGCATCCCACCCAGATGAAGAGGAATAGGTCATGCTGAACAGCAGCAAGGCTCATATAAACAGAAGGCACTTGTATTAGGGTAACGGAGGCAACGGTGGTAACCAGAGATGGAGCAGGCAGCTAAACTGGTTATCAGATCTCAGCGGTATCAGCCCCTGCCGGGTTTAGTTACCCGGCCAGTGCCAACTGAGAAGTTGTCTTCTGTTGATGGTTCCCTGCCAGCTCCACRCTTTGGCCTTGCAGCTTCTTGCTTAAGTTGCACATACTGATTTTCAGGCCGGAAAATGGCCACGCTGGTCTGGGGTTTTCTCGTCTTCACTATTCTCCTTTTCGACGTTGTTACCAGATTAACTTTTCTTTTTGATTTATTTATTTATTTTAACTGCAAGCRTGTTTTGTGATCCCATGATGGAATCCATGCTCCCATTACTACAATGCTACTTTCTTGTCAGTCAGTTGTCATTTGCTTCCATTTCCTACGTTGGATCTGGAATTCTAGCACAGACTTGGGGATTTTAAGCCCATCCTTTTAATACCGGATTAGTTACAAAAGTAGTAATGCTTTTGTACCCCTTTTAATGAGGAGATCTGATCCCACCCATCCTTGCTATGAATGGCACTTCAGGCACCCTCCAGATCTGCCCGAGCACCTCCCGTCTTGGTCATGCCCCACATTTTGACCTTTCGTGTGTCACGTAGGCTTCCAGCAGAGATCTAAWGCTAGACTGGAAGGTGGAAAAAAAATAACTGGCTTTTATCCCTGACRCTGACGCTAGTGTCTGCTGTAGCTTCAGACGTGACAGCATATGGCGCTGCCTTGACTTCTCCCTGTATCAACCTCGCCTGGATATTTTAAGGTTTATTTGTAAAGCACTTGACAGGGAAAGTGATACATTGGTCAAATGCCAACGTATCAACAGAGATACAAGTTTAAAACCATTTTATTTTTACTCAAAGTGGTGTTAAAGTCTGTTAATCACAAAAAGGAAAAACGAATCCAAAGCACGTCGGAGTTACAGGGAGATTCTCCACTGCCACGAGGTCTTCCCAATTCCCCTGTTTTCTCAAGGAAAAACTCTATCAAGTTCATCAAATCCTGTCTGTTAGACTAGATGGGGAGAGATGGGGTCGGACTCCAAGGCTGGAGAGYCTTTTCCCTTGGAAAACTCCTGTAGTATCGAGGCCTCGTGACTTCAGTTTCCCGGATTTGGGTCGGCTCCAAGGATAAYGCTGGAGAGACAGCGACGTAGCTACCGCCCGGGGCGCGTGCCACTCCGCAGGGCAATGCCAGCTCCTTGAAACAAGCTGGGAATCTCCGAGGCTTGCAGGASGGAGGTAACAGATGGCGTGTTCGGGCTTCGTAGTTGCCCAACAGGAATATTCTGCGTTTTTGGAGGTGAACGTTCTCCGAGAACAGACCCGTGCAGACGCTGCTTCGTAATCGTGTCTGGAGGCGCCGCGGTGAGCTGGCGGGGAGGCCGTGCCTGCCTGCACGGCCACAGGCAGGACTGCCCTTCCGCAGGGAATGCGACAGCCAGTGACGGGAGAAGGTGCTACGGGAAGAAACCCTCCTCCTTGCTTTTCCCCCCTTTCCTAAGATTGGTTAAGGAAAACAACCTCCTTGTTAATAGTTCACTGAAATCTCCAAGCTATTAAGAATGATTAAAGGGATATTTACATGTACTGTTAGAAATGGAAAGTAGGCGCAAAGACAGGTCACTAAAATGTCAACCTTCCAGTGTTCCTTCTATGATTTTTTCCCCCATATTTCCACGTTTCTTACCTGCAAAACTACTCTCTCAATGCTATGCCTTGTTCATACCTGTTGGTGTGGAAGAGGAGACTGTGTACTTTAAAAGCACAAGTACTTGTGATAATATGCCCTGGAGACGATGTTTAGAGTACAGATAACTACTTCACTGATATCTCTTAAGTAGCTTTAATTTGGCAGCATATAGCGTGAAGAATAAATGGGAGAAGTAAGTAAAAGTAATGCGACAACAATGGTATGAAAGGTGCCGACGGGGATTTCCTTATAAAATCAAAGCTTAATCAAAGCGCTTGTCAGTACTTAAGTTCCTAACAAAAAATGGCATGGGCTGTGTCTTGGCCTGTAGTGAAGGCAGCCCGTAGCCTCTCCCTTTGCTTGCACAACAGCGGGAGCAGATGCACAACCAGCTCCTCACAGAAACGGTGTTGGACTCAAAGGGGAAGAGGACAGGACACCAAAGCACTTTATCCAAGGGAGACAGCTGTAATATTGACCACTGCTCTCCGACTAGGATCTTTGCCTGTYAGACTTCTTCTTTAGACTCGGTGCCTTTGCCTTTAACTCTTCCCCCATGTTGAGTTGAGTAACCCAACCTTGAAGGTAGCCAGGCCCGGAGCAGGGGGTTAGAGCACATGACCTGCTGGGAGCCCTTCCAAATTAAATTATTCTGTGAAACTGTTTGGAAACAAGTGTGACAGTTTGGGATCTGGCACAGGGAGCGCAGTCTGGCAGCTCCTGTGTTCCCAGAAATGTATCCGTGGTGGAGCTGGCAGGAGCTGCAGAAAGGCTCCGGGAGGAGCTGCTCATCCCACTTGCTCCTGGTACAGTCGGCGTGGGACACCCGGCCTTGACTCCTGCTCGGCCTCCAGGAGCTGCTGGTGCTAAGGAGGATCCTTGCCTTGGCTGATATCTAAGAAGGCTACGAACACTAAGCTTAAAACACAGTCTTGAACATAGCCAGTTCAAGTCTTAAGTAGGAAAAAGGTGTCTTTTGAGGCTGGATCTCCTAAAGCAGCCAGGAACAGCCTGCAGCAAACAAACCTCTTCTGGGGATTTTCTCCCAACAGCCTGGGCCATCCCTTCCGAGCCCTGTTTGCCAGCTGGGCTAACAAGAAGCAGCCCTGTGATAACCGCATGGCACGGTGGAAAGGTCATCTTAAATCTCACAAGTGGCAAGGGGGCATCAACACGTTCAAGTTCATGGATGGTCTGGTGAAAGCCTCCGCAAAGGAGCTTGCTGCAAGGTGGTCTTAAGCAGGGGAGATTTAGTGATGTTGGTGTTGGAAGTTGCAGCTGCCAACAGGACCGTGTTCCTGAGCACCTCTACTTTTGAAGGAGGCGACGTTGAATGGAGCACAACTGAATGAGCGTCGGTCAGGTGGTCAAGGGCAGACGGTGCCACGATGCAGGGGAGTGCCTGGCATGACGCCGTGGGGCTCTGTTCTTTCACCAGCCCCGGTGATTCATTTGCTTGTTCAACAGGCCCCATTGATCTTCGTGTGTCACAACTGCAGAGCTCAGCTGGGGACTTTCTGCCTTATGGATTATCAACAGGATCGCAGTTTTGCAACTGGCTCTTAATTTCCCAATTCTCTTGGTGTGAGAGCCAAAATCCGGCTTGTTCTTTGGTTGCATTAGCTCTGCAAGGCCAACCGAAGTGAGGAAAAGTGTAAATAACTAATATGAACAGATAAGAGTAGGTACGTGTGTCCTATTTCTAGGTCTTTTGCTGACTATAATTACATTTTTTTTGAATGAATGTTGTGCCCGAAGCAGAAAACATTGTGCTAGCTCAGCAGTCTCCACTAAAAGTCACTATCAGGCATAGTAATTAGAGCCTGAGAGCACTTTTTTACCGTAAAGATCTTGTGTCTGCTGTTGATTTGTGGCATTTCAAGAAAAGAATATAAAAAGGTTGCTTGGGGTTCGTGCAGTGGAGCTGTTTGACTGGCTTGTCCAGTGAAACGTAACTCCAGCGTTAGAAATAGGAGAGCAGCAGCTCCTCTACCTTGGAGAGTTTTAAGATGACCTGTGGGAGCTTCTCCGAGTGTTTCGCGCTCCGTGAAACCTGTGGGAGGTCTCGGGAGGAGCTGAGCCCTCTCCCTGCCTCAAAGGCCCTCTCCAAAGCCAGTGTGACTTCCTATGGGGGGAAAAAGCACAAGAAGGCAGTGCTGGCCTTGCACAGATCCCCACATAGGAGTCTCCTTAAGGAAAGAGGGAGCTGGGCTTCCCTTGCATCATTACCGCCAATTATAGTTTGTGTATTTACTGAAGTGGTGAAAGAAGGCTTGTTTAAAGAAGGAGGGGGAAAAAAAGGGCAATAAAATACACAGAGATGTTGATAACCTGTGAGCCATGTTTGATATCAAGAACAATGGCAATTCCTTTCCTGGAAATTTGGCCTCTAAAACTGCGCTCACTTGGGTTAGGGAGTTTGAACAAATGCTGTTTTAAGGCTGCCCTTCTGTTTATTTATTTTATGTATTTTATTTATTTATTTGTTTCCTGCACTTAGTGCAGGACTCTCTCCATTGAAACCGCAGTCTCGCATGGGTGGTTTGGTGAGGGGACCTGCTGAAAGGTTCACAGCTTAAAGCAGGCCTTATATGTTACACCTGTAAGGATTCCACGGGGACGTTTGGGAACGGTGGCCGCGATGCACTCGGTGTGGAGCGTGAAACAGGGCGTTCGGCAGGTGTGGGCATTCACCCGGGAGGGTGTTACACAAAGGTGAAACATTGCCCTTATTAACGTAGAGAGAGCAGACCTAGAGCCTGCAGCTTGGCTTTGCTGATCTTCCCGTTTCTCATTTCCTTTTTTCTTTTTTTTTTTTTTTTTAAACGCATCTTATAGCCTAACTCTATAAGATAAGTATAAGCTTTTCCTTATTTAAATTATACAAAGATTTTGGGCTTCGGGCAAGCTTTACTTGCAACATCAATGTGTTTTCTTGCAATCTGCCTTTTTTTTTTTTTTTTTTGAGAATCCTGTTCTGTTTTCTAACTTGCAGGTTGCTCCAACACCTATTAGAGAAGGTATATACCCCATTGGAAGGGTATATATCCCATTATTTTTTTTTTTTTTTTTGAGAATCCTGTTCTGTTTTCTAACTTGCAGGTTGCTCCAACACCTATTAGAGAAGGTATATACCCCATTGGAAGGGTATATATCCCATTAGAAGGGTATATACCCCCCCATAAAAGTGGTTCTGTTTTCCTCTCCTATCTCGTGCTTCTAACCACCCGTGTTTTCAGAGCAGTCCAAGCAGGAGAACACGGCTGCTGGTGAAGCAGCCCTGCCTTGAGGGACACAGGGGCTCCCACCACAGCTCCTTCCCATCTCCCGAGTGTCCTGAGYGCTGCCAGGGGACAAAGCACAGCTGATTTGGCCCTGCTCCTGGGATACTCGGCTGTTCCAGGAAGAATTTCTACAGGAATGCTGGTCTTTTATAAAGCACATGGCTAATGGTGAAGGAATCATTCTAGATCGGAATCTCGCAAGGAACATACTGTAATTATCGCTTAGATCTAAATGAATCCAAGCAGCCCTTGCCCAAGTTGTTATGTTCTGTTTGTGAATGCGTTTCCTCCACTTGGCATTCAGCCCCAGCAGTGCAGCAATATTGTGTAAAACATGGGACAAACAACCTCTCTTTAAGCAGAGGGCTGGGGAAAGAGCAGCTCTGTCTAGCTGCTAAGACTGTGTAACTCTTGAGGTTGGAGATGGGGGAGTTTCTTGTAAATGGTGGTGGATACTCTTTGGTGATCCTCAGCTGTATGTTCATCTCTTTATGTATTTTAGAGTTTCCCAGGACCATAACTTGTGTTTTTCAAAATGCTTCAAGGTGCTCGGGCAAAAGGTACAATATTTTTACAGAAGATGCTGACAAAACATTTTAAAAGTGTGTCTGTTTAATTTTAGGACAAGGAAACCTGCATGGGTGTCAACAATCAAAGTTACATATGTGAAACGGGCCACTGTTGTGGACAGTCCCAGTGTTGCAACTACTACTATGAACTCTGGTGTAAGTCCTTCCTTTCTGCATGGCTTCCTTTCCTAAACTGCATGGCTCTCATACTCCAAGTCTGGCTTATGTCCCGTGGGATATTGCATTGAGCCCTCGTTACGCGTTGCATTTAACTGCAGCACGAACCGGCACTGAGCTGATGTGACAAGGGACATAGGGCTCTTGGAAGTGGCATCGCCTGCCCTTGGTGGGGACAAGGAGACACACAGGAGACTTGCTCCGTGTTGAACCTGCTCTTTGGTTTGGGCAATATTGCCGTGATAATTCAAAGTAACCTTGTAGATGCCTGGGGGAAACACTTGAAGAAAAGATACCAACGAGGACAACTCTTGAGTTTGATACCCAACCAGTGAATTAATTTAGTTTCATCTTACTGTTTTATTTGTGTGCAAGAGCAACAGTTTACATGTGATTCATCTTTTTAAAGCTGTCCTCTCAAGCAAGGCGGGGAAGGAATATTATTCTCTTACAGGAAACACTCAACTGGGAGCACAGATCCTTGAGTAAATTTTATTGTTTTGAGAGTAGCTGAATGCTGTGAAGAACATACAGTGCCTATTTTAACCCTTGCTGTCTTTGGGGCATTTCCCCATCACCTGGAATTTAAAACTTTGCTTGTTTTTGGAGTTTCCTTGTTTTTTTAGAGAATATTCCTTCTATTTTTAGAGGTCAGCAGGCCAGTCAAAGCAGGTCAGCAGGACCCTGTCAAGGATGTAAGGGCGGGAAAAAGGGGAATTAAGAATTGCTGAGTTTGAAAGGCAGACTTCTAGAGCAGCATCTGACCTGGAGGTACCTGTGTTGCCCTGGAGGAACATAAAAGGTTTTGGATTTTGATGCTTATACGCTGTTATACTGCAAGGAACCTAGGCTGAGGAGACATTGGGCACTTGAAATATGGGATTCTGCCCAATATCACCGGTCTGTAATGTGGGGGTTAATTCCTTACTGCACCTGTGGCATCTCGTAGCCTTTACATAACTGTGCTACCAACTTAGTCCCCCTGCTATGACAGCAGTGTCACCTTCTCAAAGGGACACCTGTGCGGAAGCGTATCCTTACAGACAGGAGTGCTGCTTAACCTGGGTCCGAGGGCAGACTTCATCCTTTAGTCTGGAATCTTGCTTTTCCTTTGGAACGTAACCAGTGGAGCTCGGAGGATGTGACTGCAAGCTAAGCAAGGCTTGAAAAAACCTCTCCAAGATGCCCCGTGAGTCAGAGCACGGTGTGTAGCTCCCATGGCAGGGGATGAGTGTTGCTGGTGCTTTGTGGAGCTCCCACAGCACCTTTGTTCTCAGGTGTCTCCGGGCAGTTCAAGAAGTGATTCAGGACGAGCAGGGTCCGTGTAGGGAGCTCAGCAGAGGGAGAAGCCTGAGCACATCGCTTCCGTGGACCGCCTGGCTCCGACCGCACGGTCGGCAGCGCCGGCCGGACAGATGTCTGGAGCCCATTTATACTGTAGGGGATTCACAGACCRAAAGCAGGGAAGGTCAAATCCCGTTTTGGATTCGTGTGGGTGGGAATGTACAGGAAGAGGCCTGTATCCAAGGGCTTATATCCTCTATGGCAAGTGGGAGCTAAATTCAGCAGCAGCGTCGCGTGCAGCTGCGCGCCGGAGCCCTTGCGTAGTTGCCATATTTCTCCCRTGTACATCTTGAAAGGGGCTTTGCTGAAACACACATAAACAATGCGGGCAAAACAACAGCACCCCGCTCTTCCACTGAAATGATTATATTGTCTTTGTATGGTACAGATTTTTATATTTGACGATGCCTAGGTGCATCATAAAACTTCTTGGAAGGGAGGAAAAAACAAAGTGGAGTTTATCGCAGGGAAAGAGAATATTTCAGGCTCCTTTCTAGGGCAAGGACACAAGTCACTTGGAGGTGGTGGAATAGACACATTGATGGCAGCCAGTGATGAAGGGGGCCTTGGGGAGGACGGGTAACTCCGAGATTCCTGTTCCTTCAGCACTGCAGAAAGCACCATGTRCCACTCGGAGCCGGGCAAACAAGCTGTGTTCTCTTAGGCTTTCTGCAGATTCGGGCAAATTCCCATCACTGCCTCACAATCTGTTAAAATTTTCAGAGCTTTCTTTGCCACAGTGAGCATCACAAACTGGGATTCCTGGCCTTTTTTGGAAGGGAACGGGGAAATCTTTTTAAATGAAAGGTCATCTTCTGCAGCCCCACGGGACCATTGCTGCAGAATTCCTGTCTCGTCCCAGGAATTGTTGGCTCTCTCTGGCATGTGCACATGGTGAAGCCCACTTAGCACCTTCAAGGTGAGGAGCAGGGATAGTTGATGCAAACAGGCTTCATAAAGGCAGTGGAGTGTTGATGTGGCCAGCAACAGCCTTACATGCTTGGCAATAGATTAGCCCTTCAAAAGTTAATAATAACTTTGGGTTAATGAGCAGTGATGTTAGCAACACTTTTTAAATACGGCTTCATGCTTGTCCTGCATTTTGCTTTTAACCAGTGTTAAAATGTACATTTATTAAAGCAGCTTTGGAGACATCGCAGCTGCTCCTGACCTTTTCAGGCCACCCATATTATTGTGTGCTTGAAAACGAGGCTTCTCGCAAGTCCTGCTGACTTAAATCCTTTATTTATYTACCACTGCAGCTTAGTTGGGAGGAGCAGCCTTGGAAATGCAAAGGAAAACTGCTCCGTCTTCCCTAGACGTACCTTCTGAAACGCAATCCCGTCTGTGCAAGGATTTCCCATAAAAAGGGTCTCCAAATTTCCAGGCAGCAGRTAAAAGGTGTGCAGGAATCATCAAGCAGCCCCTGAAGGAGGGCAGAGTAGGATGCCAMATCCAGGTATTATTTGCCAAGGGGTGGAGCGAAGGAATGGAGAATGTGATATGCCAAGCAGGTGAACAGCCTGTGTTTAAAATGAGATAACAGCTTGGCTCRGATTCCCCACCCATCTCTTACTTAAAAAAAGGAAAAAAAAAATAGCACTGTGTTGTCAAATAATAAGGCTATATGCAAGTTTAATAATATAGCTGTATAAAGGTCTAATTAGTTCTTAGCTCAAGCTGGAGCTGGGTGTGGTAGTTCATGGGAAAGCATGAAAAAATCCACTAGGAATAAAGCTGTCTTATTTTCTTGCAAAAGGATTTTAAAAAGCAGAAGTGAAGGGGAGGAGGATTTATTGATGATTTTCCTTGCAGGAGTTTGGGGCAGGTTGAGCTGGTTGCACTTTTTGGACTTGCAAATTCTTTGGGCTCCCTGGAGAGCTCATGGTCCTCAGGGAGTCTCCAGAGAACATCAGCAGCCACCGGATTCACCTTCCTAACAGGTCCCGTCCTGGTCCGTTAGGATGTGCTGGTGATTTGCGGGAGCTTTCTAATGTTGGATTTTGTCCAGGCCTGACAGGTGTTTTATAGCTTAAATGCTCCAAAATATCACTTTTCAAAACAGAGCAGAGGTAATCGAGGAACGCAGCTATTTTGCAGGTTAACAACTGGCGCTCGGGAGGTTCTGGCTTTTGCCAAGTTTGAACCTAAAACGCGAGCTGAGAATCAAGTCCCCATCTCCTGTCACCCATCCCCGCCTCCCGTGCCCGCTGAGGATGAGTGGGAAATTAGCCAAATCGTGAGGCTTTTCAAGCAGCAAGCAGGGAGGCAAGACGTGTTGTGCGTGGTGGGGCRGCAGGAGCAGCGTGCCGTGCTCGGAGAATCACAGGGAATCTCGGGGAATCGCGGGGACGGCGACGGCTGCGGTGGCACCTGGACCACCCCAGCGGGACGGGCAGAGGTGGCACCACAAACAACGTGCACTCGGTGACAAGCAGCTGCCCAGGCAGACCCGCTTGGAGCTGCCTCCGTTTYGCTGCGCCCCGCTAACTTCACTTGCTTTTCCCCCCTTCTTTACTCCGTAGCAATGATGTCGAGCCCCTCTGAAAGCTAAAAAAAGATCTCAAGTGTTTCGAGAYTTAGGAGGAGGGTTGTATAGGAAAGAAATGTTCTGTTTGCAGGCAGCACAGATGATGTTTYTGCTGATTTTGTGCATTTTGCTAATCTTCCACACGCTTCCCCTTGGAATCTCTAGACGGCTCTTTTCCCCACAGAGCTCGCTGCCAGGAAATCTTGGCAGGGATGCAGTTAGTTGCTAAAACTCTCCAGCAACTGCTGCAACACGTACGTGTTCCAGGTCAGCTTTATAATGGGAATTCATTTCCAAGACTTTGCTGTAGCATCCAAAGCTTCCAGTCAACACATTAATTCTGTCTTTTCTTTCTCGCCCGCTGTTATCTTATCCCTCAGTTCAACCAYGTCCTTTTTCCAGGGGGTGTTTGCCCTGTTCCTTGTCTCTCTTGCAGCCTCCTACCTGGTTGCATTTGCTTGCTCTTCTTCCAAGTGCCTCAGCTTCCACCTTTGGTTACTCTGTTAACCCTCAGCTGGTGCCTCAGAGAGATGCTGCCACTGCAAAGTCTAGCTGAAGAGGTATGGCAGGTGAAACAAATGTGCAGAAAATCATAAATAGGGCCAGAGGAGAAGTTATTTCCTTATTTTCCTTTGCTTTTTGTAGCCTAATCTAGATGTGGCTTGGTAAAATTCACCAATGCACAGAGGAAGGAGAAGGCGAAAGCTCTTAGCCCCTAGTCTTAGTGTGTAGGTCTTGACTCTTACCAGGCTGGCCGCCTTCCACCTCATGTGTTTTAAATATCAAGAAGARGCAAGAGAGCTTGTTTGTGCCACCGCATCCCCTTCTTTCCGTGCCTCCCACCCAGCTCCTCGCGTAATATCGAGGTCTAGCCACGCAGGCTGTTCTCCAGGTTGTGTTCCCAAATGTCCTGGAGGTGGCCTCGGGCTGAATGACCCCTCCAGTCTGTGCTTGGCCAACATGCAATGTGCATTTTACCCACAGAGGTACCTTGAGGGGGCAGGTGTCTCCTGCTTGGAGCTGACTGGGTCACTCAGTGCTCCTGTGGAGCACAAGCAGTTACTGTTAGAGCTGCTGTCCCCAGGAGAGGCCTTAAAAACAGCATCTGCTCATCTGTTGCCTCAAGCTGACTCTTGCTGCAAGATAAGCAAAGAACATTTCAGAAATGAATCTCTTTTTCCAGGATTTGGTGCCGTTTTTGCCGAAGGACCCTCTATAAAACCCGGAGCATCCAAACCTGTGCTCCCAATTACAGCTCCCTCCTGGTTTCCATGGCCCTGGGAAAGACAGCTTTTCCTGACCGTCGCTCACTGCGATGCCACCATTTGGGAGATGGCTTTTTTAGTCAATGAAATTGTCCCACTTCTCCTCCTGTTCAGAACCGTGTCTTGTGAAGCCAGAGCTATTACCCAGCTGCTTGGGAGGCAGACACCACAGCACTTTGCAGTGTATCTTGGCTGGCTTCGAGGGGGCTTCCTGCCAGTAGAGCAATGGCATTTGCCCAAGTTTACCGTGAACTTGAGGGCAGATTTCTCTGTTCCTACCCTTGGAACGCTGCAAAAAACATGTTTTCCATTTGCACAGGATAAAAGGAGCTTCCCTCCACGGGGCTGCTGATGGCAACGTCCCAGGCAGCAAACATCCACTTTGTCCTTCTCATCATCAGGTAGAGAGTTGTCCCCACTGCTCTTTCCATGGGGATGTGGCCCTTATTGGGGTCCGCTCTGGGTTTTTTGTTGATTCTGAAGTCCGTGCAAAGCTGTGGCCAGTGCCCGAGGTTTTGAAGCTTAAGTTTGATGAATTCTTCCACGGCTGGCAGAAATATCCGCAGGGAGCTGCTCCTTCCCAGGGAGCTGCAAACTCCGCAGCCTTCCCGTGGGCAGCCGCTCCATGTGTGTGGCAGGAGGTGGCTCTCACAGAGGACAATTTTCCTCCCAGTTTGGAGCTCGCGTGGAGGTTCCTGCTTCCCCCGGAGTTGGCCTGATGCTGGGCTGCAGGTTGATGGGACTTTACTTGTGGGAAGCTTCGGATATTCCGCAAGGGAAGCCTCTTGGCAAAACTTAGCTCTTTGGCTGTGTCTGATCCCATAAACACTCTCGGGTTGCATCATTATCAGCCCATTGGCATCGCCAGTGGATTTGACATAAAATGCAGCAGCATTTGCAGGACCCAGCCTGTTTTGGCCCGGGACATGTTTCAACTTGAGACTCTTCCATGGCCCAGGGGAGAGCCTGGAGCTGCCCGCAGTGCCCGCGGCGCGTTTAGCTCCAGGAATGGGTGCGCTGCCTCCCGCGGCGCTGCCCGCGGGGCTGCATTCCCAGGGGTTGCGCTCGCCTGTCGTGCTGCCCTTCAGGTGCCGCCGGTTCTGGTGCGCGGGCTCAGCCCCGGGCGGGCGGTGGGAGATGCCCGGGGGGCTCCTCTCCATTCCAGCATCATCCAGGACAGGCTCTGGGAGCCCCCTGCTTCCAGCCTCCCGCTTCCCCAGGCCAGGGCAGTAGCTCAGCAAAGTGCAGCAGCAGTGTCCCTGTGGGAAGGCACTGCCTGCTCAGCAGCACTTGGGGAACAGCAGGGCAAATGGAAACTCAATTTTCCTGGGCTTTTAGAGCTCCCTTTGTGCCAAACTTCTGTTGCCTTTGAGCATCCCCCCGGCTTGCAGAGCTCGTGGCTGCCTTTGCCGTGAGGCAGGTGTTGGCTGGCGCCCTTGGCGTGTTTGGCCTCCTCTTCCTCACCAGCGGCCCTGTTGTTTCTGGATGGGTCTGAAATTCCCGCCTCCCCTCCTGCCAAAGAGCCACTCCGTCCGCGGGAGCCGCTCTAGGCTGGGCCGCTCTGCTTCCCGCTTCCCGCCAGCTCCACGAGCACCCGGCTCGGCCCCGGCCGCCGCCTCTTGCCCCGCGCTTGCCAGTTTAGGTTGCCCTTGGCCTGGCCTCTGGTGCCTTGTTCCAGATAACAGGCTGTGCTTTGCGCTCCGGGCTCGTCGCTGCTCTGTTCCGCAGCCAAAGCGGCCGGGACCGGCTCCAGGGGCTGGTACGTGGCCCTTGGCACCCGGTGTCGCGGTCAGCCCCTTCCATCCACCCGCTGCGTCCCCTCGCGGGGGTCCCGTCCTGCAGCTTCCCGGGAGAGCCTGACGCCTGCGGTGCATGCGTGTCATTGCGTGACAGGGAGGGGGMAAATCCCTTGGGGAGGGSGMAAATCCCTTGGGGAGGGAAGCGAGGCCGAAGGCTCTGGTGGCCCTGCACTGTCCCGTCTCCCGTGTGATCCAGCAGCTCCGGGGGTGCCTGCTGAGTCGGAGCCAGGCAATTCCTAGAAGCCCAAGCGACACTTAAGGAGAGCAAGTGGCAACGTGGCACTAGTGGGTTCTCCTGCTGGCACTTCCCATGGAAAGCCCCAGGTGTTGCCCGCTCGCATCGCCCTGTGCRTGAGGACGGCTGTTCCTGGCACCGGGGCCACCGTGCCGGCCAGCAAATTAGGGCCTGTTTGCCTCAAATGCCACCTGTGGCTTTAGCAGGGTCCAGCACTAATTTATTACCCCAAAGCCCCGCGTGTTGTTCCTGCCTGTTGTTTACAGAGGCGCCGCACGTTTTCCCGGGAGCGGCTGCGCTTGCCGTGACCCCTGCGCCGAGCTCGTGCGTCTGCATCGCTTCGGGATCGCTCTGCAGCGAGTACGGATTTGTAAAGGAACRCTTCCCAGCTCTTCTGCAGGCAGGCTTGGGTGGGAGCAGTTGTTCCCTGCAGAAGAATTCGGCTGCTGCAGCTGCCAGTGCTGAACGGTGGCAGATCTCCAGGATGTCTTAACTAACTCGGTGCTGCTCGCTGCCCTTCCGTCCAGGCCTTTGGGAAGGGACATGATAAAATGTGTTAAAAAGCATCTGTTTTCCTAGCTGTAGTTAAAAAAAACAAACCCTGGAATAGCTGGATGTGATTTTCCATTGTTTTTTAGTTCACAGATTGTTCTTTGGCAAGAAGTACCGGGATGAAGTGCAGGCCGGCTCGGGTGCTGCGCGCTGAGAAGGTCCTTCTCGTCTCTGCAGCTTGCAAGAGCTGAGGAGGCTTCTCATAGCGAGGAAGATATTGGTGGGAATTCTCAGTGGTGGCCCATGATAGGACAAGGGACAATGGAGACAAATAGAAACCCAGGCAATTCCATCTGCATGTGAGGAGGAACTTCTTTCCTGTGAGGGTGACAGAGCCCTGGAACGGGCTGCCCAGGGAGGCTGTGGAGTCTCCTGCTCTGGAGATCTTCCAAACCTGCCTGGATGCCGCCCTCTGCCATGTTCTCCAGGTRTCCCYGCTGGAGCAGGGKGTTRGACTAGGTGATCTCAAGAGGTCTCTTCCAATCTCAACCAGTCCGTGATCCTGTGAGTCTCCCAGGTGTGGGATGGTGACCACAACCGTGCGGCTTTGGCGGGAAGAGCCAATGAGACTGATCCCAGTGCCTTCTAATTAGTCCCTTCTTGCAAGAGGGTGTTTGGAGGGAGGGAGAGAGGTGGTTTAGTAGCTTCTTGGCTCAGGTGGGAGGTGGAGAGAACACCACGAGCGCTTCCCCTTCCCTGGAACCAAGATGACTCGCTTCCCTCTGCCCTGAAAACTGCAGTCCGAAACCCGCCTGGACGCCACCCTGTGCCACATGCTGTAGGTGTCCCTGCTGGAGCAGGAAGGTTGGACTAGATGATCTCTAGAGGTCCCTTCCAACCTTGAATATTCTGTGATTCTGTGATTCTGTTTCATATCACAGTGCAGAACGGCCGTGYTGTGAATGGGCTTCAGCGCTGGGATGGACATGGGGGGTTTGTTTTGTGCCTTTGGAGTGGAAGAAGCCTGGCTGAAAACAAGCTGTGTTGTGGCCTCTGCTGAGGAGTAGTTGCTAGGCCACAGGTGTTTGTTAAGGGGGGCTGTCACAGCATTTCTATCTGCAAATCCTCAGTTTTAGAAAGGTTGATATTTTAAATGCATCTGAGTGCCATAGAGATAGGGGCTGTAATTGCATGAGATAAAATCCCAGTGTGGAGTGAAGGCTGTGGCTCTTCCAAATGCATCTCTGCAGGGTTTCATTGAGGATGTGTGGGTGTGAGGGGAGACCAGGGGAGAAGGAACGTGCTCTGACACGGTGGGGAAAGACAAGGAAGGGCCTGGTTTGAATTCCCTTCCTGGGAGCCGCTGGGACAGGGTGCTGGGACCACAAACCCAGCACAGGTGGGGTTTGAAAACGGAACATTCTGGAGGGACGGGCAGAGTAGTTTAATTTTGGATAATTTAAGACATTGTGTTAAAAAATGTTTTTAAAATATTTTGAGACGTTTATGTAAAAGGAGTCTGGTTTTGCTAAGTGGAACTCTGAAAGAATTGGACTAGAAATGAGAGGGCAGCACAGAGCAAAGCAGAGCGTGGGGCTGGGGCCTCCTCCTCTTTCTCCTCTTGTCCTTGACCGGAGTTCGGGCTGCCTTTTGTGTCCCGATTGCTGTTTCCAACCCCACATGGCTCTGGGAGTCAGATTGAACGCCCTCGGGTCCTGCTTGGGGGGCTACAAAATGCTGTAACCGAGCGATGGGATGGGATGGGAGAGCTGGAGTGTGTGTAAACGCCCTGTTTCCGCGTGGCTCCCGTGTCCCGCGCGGGTTTCCGCAGCGCGGCGCGCGGMTCCATCCCTGGGGATGCGCTGGGGCCGTCACTAACGCGCCTCTTGCCGGCGTCTCCGCAGGGTTCTGGCTGGTGTGGGCCATCATCATCATCCTGAGCTGCTGCTGCGTGTGCCACCACCGGCGCACCAAGCACCGCCTGCAGGCCCAGCAGCGGCAGCACGAGATCAACCTCATCGCCTACCGCGAGGCCCACAACTACTCGGCCCTGCCCTTCTATTTCCGTACGTAGCCCGCGGGCCGCTCCGCTCCCCTGGGCAGCCGGAGTCGCTGGGGGGGAGTGGGAAGCGGTGYGTGGGCCTCGCGGGGCAGCTCAGCGCCTCCGCCTCGTGGGGTAAATCCGAGTTGCTGGAAGCAATTGCGCTTTCTGGAGCCGGGATTGAGCCCCTGCCGGCTACAGCTGCTTGTGGCATCCCTGCAGTCACACAGCCCCGGGTGTGCAGTGGGACCTGGGTGCTCCCTGGGGCTGCCTTTAAAACACCCTGTCCGGACTGGCCCTTTCTTCCTCAGCCCCACAGCCACRCAGTAACACAAGGAAAACTGCAGTGCTGTCTTCAGATATTTCTGTCGTTTGTTTATTGAGCCCATTTTGTCTACACGTGGAGTATTTTACTGCCCCTTAAGAAATAAATAAAATCTTTCTTGAACTGAGGGGCTCTAGCCACAATAACCCCAATTCTCCTGCCGCTGCTGCCAGTTTATTCTGACCACCCCAGAACAGTTAGATCCTAAAACCACTACCAAAGAACCATGATGTTAAGTTTCTTGTAGCCGCTTGTGTCTTTCTGCGCTCACAGAGAGGTGGGAGGTGAAACCTTTGCCCTGGGGAGCAGGAGCTCAGCTGAGTGGCCGGCAYGGGCAGGTTGTGTCAGGAGCTCCTGGTGTCTCTGGGCAGCCTGTCCCTCCCTTGGGGTGTTTGTGGGGCTGTGATGGGGCTCAGCGGGTGGGGGGGATGCCTGGGTAGCCCTAAGATTAGCCCAGGAGCCAGAGCTGGTTGCCATTCCCGGCTGGCTCCRTTCCCTCCTGCACTGAGTTTTGCTTCCTTAAACCAAGAATCACCTTGTTCAATGGGAGCACCGCTCAGCGGGAGGGTGCTGTGGGTGGCAAACAATTTATTTGGCCTCCACACGAATGCCGGGATTTCCTGCAATAAGCCGCCTGTGGAATAACCTCTCCTCCCGGCCTCCCGTCTTATTTCCTAGGCTTTTTGCCAAACTACTTGCTACCTCCGTACGAGGAAGTGGTGAACCGCCCGCCGACGCCTCCGCCACCGTACAGTGCCTTACACCAGCAGTGCGTCGCGGGCGCCGCGCCGGAGCCGCCGCCGCCGCCGAGCAGCCCGGCCGGCCCCGGCCCCGGCGCCGCCGCCGGCTGCCCCGGCCCGGGAGAGCCGCAGCCCTCGGCCGCGCCGGGCGAGCGAGCGGCGGCCAAAATGCCGAGCGCCGAGCCCGGCGGCACMAGCGCCGGCGCCGCGCTGGAGGAGAGGGCCGCTCCCGGCAAGGAGGCGGAGAGCAAGGAGGGACTGCGGAAAGGGGACAGCTCCGAGGGCCTGGAGCGGGGCGGCGCCGTTCCCGACGGCAAGGACAAGACGCCGGGCCGGCAGCGCCGCTTCACGGGCGACTCGGGCATCGAGGTGTGCGTCTGCAACCGGGGCCACCACGACGACGAGCTCAAGGAGCTGGACGGGCTCATCGATGACGCTCTCGATGGGCCCCTGGACTTCTGCGACAGCTGCAGCGGCCGCCCGCACGGCGACGAGGAGGAAGGGCTCTTCAGCGCCTCGGAGGAGCAGCCCGGCGAGCACAGCCACCACCACCTACCCCGGCAGCCCGTGTGCGTACTCTTGAACACAATAAACGAGCAGGACTCTCCGCACTCTCGTACCAATAACTCCCCCAGCTAAGGCGGCAGAGCGCAAGAGAGAAGCTGGGGAAAAGCAGGCAAATAAATAAAGGGGAAATGAGAGGATTGAAACTTCGAGAGGAGGAAAAGGTGACGCAACTTTTTTGGGTTTTTTTTTTTTTTTGGCTTTCTTTCTTTCCTCCCCCTCCAATAGAAGTCGGGGACTAAGTAGCCCCCGAAGGCCCCGCTTGTGGGGGACGGGCTGCTCTGGGGTTCGGGTCGGTGACTCGCGTCCCTGCGGCCGCGCGAGCCGGGGACCGACGCTGCTCCGTGAGACCCGCTGACCAGCGCGGCTTCCCCGAGGGTGATCCTGGTGACGGTTAGTATCAGCTTGTCGGGTTTAGTTTTCCCACACACTGCTTTGTCTCGCAACCAGTAGAGCTCAGCAAAATCTCACYCTGGGAGGACGCGAGAATCACCGTAAGGCTTCGAGCTCCAGGTGTCTTCCCAGAAGCAAGCGGCTTCCGACAGTGCCGGCAGGCAGTAGCCCAAGAGTTCTGGTTTGATTTAGTGCTCTTGAGGCATTGTGGATTCCTTTCTCCTTTGACTTTTGTTGTTGTTTGTTGTTGATGATGATAATTTTTTTCCCAAAGCTGATGAATGACTGAACACATCAGCCCCGTAACCTCTGGTGCTTCAGTGTTTAAGACAACAGGTAGGAAGCTTCCCACTTGGAGCTGGTAACTGAAGGACCAGTTTCTTCCAGAAGGAGCGTTAGTCCATTACAAGCTGTTTGGAAAGAGAAGGTTTGCAGAAGTTTGCCTTTACGTGCAGTTTTTCCAGACAAATGTATTCCTCCAATGCCTCCAAGAGCACAGTTAGAGGTAGATTCCAGGCAGCTGGGCTGCCTTCCAAGTACTGTGGTCTCCGAACGACCTTCTCCCGGTGTGCTGTGAAAGGGCTCGCCTTTATTTCGCTCCCTGATTTTTGCACCCCGAGAGCAGCACACTCGAGTTACGAAGACGAAACAAGAACAGGGCTCTCTTTGGCCAGCGTGCCTTCAAGCTTCAGCGATGCGTGTTGAACAAATGGAGACGAGAGCTCCGTCCGTTGCGAAGGGATGACTTTCCATGTCGATGTGGAAGACCTGTGCAGTATTTTTTTTTTTTTTCTCTCTTTTGATCCAAATGTTTGGTGCAGTTTAATGTTGACCACTTAGAGGAAATGAATGTCTGTTTTCTCTTTTTTTTCTTTTTTTTTTTTTTTCTTTTTAATGGTGGCAACTGGCTACTGTATAATGTCTGTGAGCGTGTGTGTGTGACTGCAATCCATGCATGCGAGTCCTACTGGTAATACGAAAACCTGCTGTACGACTGCAAGAAAATTTACTGTAGCTTTGCTTTAATAAATGGTAGAGATTTTGTTAGTAATAACCCAAAGGGGGAAAAAGAAAAAGGAAAAAAGAAAAAAAAGGAAGAGCCGAAACTCACATTCCCGGGAGTGCTCGCGCGGAAGGGAGCATGATGCAGACGATGTAGCTTGGGCTCGGGTTTTCTCCCCTCTCCCTTTTATAATTATGGTCATCCAGATCATTACTGTCACAGGGGGAAAAAAAAAAAAAAAGAAAACTGAACTCAGACATACTCAGATTTGATTTGATTGAAAACCAAAATCAGTTTTAAATAAGTTGGAAACCAAAATACAACGCCTTTTCTGATAACTCGCCTGCGTGTGCGTGTGTCATTTTTGTGAGCTCCAAGCACGTTTCACAGGATCACAGAGYCGTTGAGGTTGGAAGGGACCTCTCGGGATCAGCTAGTCCAACCCCCTGCTCCAGCAGGGACACCYAGAGCACCRRGTGGCATCCAGGTGGGTTTGGAAGATCTCCAGAGCAGCAGACTCCACAGCTTCCCTGGGCMRCACATTCCAGGGCTCTGTCACCCTCACAGGAAAGAAGTTCTTCCTCAAAGAACTTCTCGAGGAAGAACCTCCAAGAACCGTTTTCCTCTGGTCCGTGCGCCTCGGGGTGCCCAAACACGCAGGGTTCCCTCTGCCGTGGGGAGACCGCGTCCCCGGGGGATCCGCGGGGGTGACGGGAGCACCCGSTCTCCACCACCCGCCCAAGGGACAGGCCCTGTCTCCCCCCAGCGCAGCCCCGTTCAAAGCCGTGGGAGGGGGGCTGGTCACTTGCTGCTGTGGTTTTATTTTTAAAAAAATGGTTTTCATGTTTTCCACACGGAGAATTGTCAGCTGCTGCATTCACCRATCACTTCTGAGAAGGGAACTAAGGGGCTGCAGCGCAGGATGTGGTGTATGTTCCAACTCCACAAGGATTTTCCAGGTTTTTAGGACCGTGGAGAGGCAAGTGGAGCACAAAGGCCGTCCGGGGTGTTGGCTGCGCTGCTCGTGCTCGCGGCGGGAGGCTGCGGGGCCGAGCGGAGCCCCACGGGCTGCCGGCACCGTGGCCATCCCGCCGGGCCGGAGCAGCGGGACTGGGCTGGGGCTGCTGCCCCGCGCGGCCTTCCGAGCGGCCCCGCTCTGCATGCGGGAAAGCAGGAGCAGGCGGAAGGTTCCTCTGGCTTGTCCTGTGCCCTGCACGCGGTGTGTCCAGTAAAATGTGCTCAGTTTGTTGTGATTATTTTCCCCCTTTTGTTTCCTGTGCACAGGAAAAGCCTGGCTGGGCAAGGGAGCTGCCGCTCGGGGCCGAGGGCTCCGGGCCGGGGACGTTTGCGGACCAGGATTGTTTGTGGACCGGGATTCGCCTCTCCGCTGGTTCTCGCCCACGGAGCAGCCGCGTCCCGAGGTCTGCGCTTGCTCCGCTCGCCTGGGCACAGGAACCCACAGGGGTTTCCAGCGAGGCCCTGACCCCCTGAACCGTCGGTTCAGCCGAGCTTCGGCCCCATCTAAAGCGTCCCGAATGGGCCTGCTCGGGAGCAGTGCGAGCTGTGAAGCAGCCGCAGCCCAGCAGAAAGTTGGGGCCAGCAGACTTTTCTTGGTTTTTTTTTTTTGTTGTTGTTGGCTTTCCTGCCTGCTCGTAAGAGATAACGCGGAGCGGGGAGCTCGGAAGGGGAGGCTGTGCCGGCCCGGAGAGGTTTCCCGCAGCGCCGGGGCTGCGGCGCGGGGAGGAGCTGGACTCTCCCAGCTCCAGCTGCTTTTCCTCGGGGGCTCGGGGCCGCAGCAGTGTCGCTGAGTAGTTAAAGATTAAGGAGTTGATCGCAGCGTGCCCTCGACGGCAGTGCTTTTCGTGGTGGAGCAGCCGCGGCCTCGTACGTTGCCGCAAGGACACAGGGTGCACCTGGCCCCGGGCTGGGGGTTTGGGGCYGCCGGGGGCTTCTCGCTGTCCCCAAGCTGTCCCTTTGGCTGCTCTCTGCCTCTGGGGGCCCGCGCTGCCCGCTGGGATCAGAGCTGGGCCGGGCTCCAGCAGCACGACCGGAGCRGGGAGCAGAGCCTGTGTCCCACCTGGGCTGCGTCCCGTGCGTGCCGGCACGTGCGCGTGCTTACGAGTATGTACACGTGTATACATGTATGTGCATGTGTAAGTGTGCCCTGGTGTGCACGTGTGTGCCTGTGTGTGTGAGCAGGCGGAGAACGGGAGAGGAATGGAGATCAGGAGATCACTCAGGGACTGACATGGCCAATTTCTAGGCCTTTTCCTCYTCCTTGCTCCCCTGCCYGGAGCAGGCAGCGAGCAGGTCCCAGCTGGGCGCGCAGGCAGCRAGGGGCCCGCGCAGCCCCGGCTCTCCAAGCGCCCGGGTGTCTCACTGGGCAGCTCCTGCTCGGCTCTGTCCTCCTCTCCACCTGCCGGGGCTGCTGCCGTTCCCTGCGGAGGGGCCCGCTGGGCACCGGCCTCTCTGCACAGCCCTGTGCCCGCAGCAGCCTCCGGAGCTGCCCCATGGCTCAGCCGCCCTCCCAGCTCCCCCTGCCCGAAAAACCACCAGAGCCACCGCTTGGAAGAGGCTTTATGGGGACTCGCGAGCGCCCTCGCTCCGTGCGCCCGGCTGCAGCGCCCGTGGGCGTCACGAGGCCGCCCGCCAGGCCTCGCGCAGCCTGGCCCGCACGCGGAACCTCTGCACCTGCAGCACCACGCCGAACCTGCCCTCCAGCGAGGGCAGGGGCTGGCCCTGCGGACACTCCAGCGTGAAGCGCTGCAGCACCCACGCCAGGAAGAGGAAGAGCTCCATCTTGGCCAGCACCTCGCCCAGGCACACGCGGACGCCGGCGCCGAAGGGCAGGTAGCTGGGCGAGGGCGAGCGGATGTGCTGGCCCTGCGCGTCCAGGAAGCGGCCTGCGGCGGGGGAGGCACCGCTGCCCTTAGCGGGATCTGCTCCCTGCATCCAAGCTCACGGCACCGCTCCGAGAACAGCCCCTCCGGAGCAGCGGCGGCTCCGGTTCCCCAGCCAGGAGGGGTCCCGCCTCCCCGCACCGGCGCTTGCCCCTCCTGCTCCTTCCCCTCACAACGCACCGGGGTTGAACTCCTCGGGTTTGTCCCACTCCTTCTCGTCGTGGTGCACGGACCAGAGGTTGATGATGACCCTGGCGCCCTTGGGGATGGAGTATTCCCCAATGCTGCGGAGCAACGACGGGGTGAGAGGGTCGGTCCCGGCCCTGGCGCCTGCCCGCGTCCCGGCCGTGCCCCGCGCCGCCTCACCTGGTGTCCACGAGGGACACGTGCGGGATGAGCAGGGGGGACACGGGCCGGATGCGCAGCACCTCGCTGATGGTGGCCTCCAGGTAGGGCAGCAGCGGGCGGTCGCTGAGGTGGGGGTGACGGGCCAAGCCGATGTGCTGGTCCATCTCCTCCTGGATCTTCCTCTGCACCTGGGGAGGGGACGAGGGAAGGGCTTGATCCTGCAGAAGGGGTTCCCATTCCCACRTGCATGGGGTGCACCACCACGGTGTCCCCCACCATGGGGACACCACCATGGCAGTGATGTCTGCCTGGAACCGCCAGTGCAGCCCAGGTGGCAATCAGGGCAGAAAGGGCCACTCGCAGCTGATCCTGCTTGGTGCCCAAGCCTGGCATCCGCCCGCCCCAAAACGCTCACGGTGCCCCAGGCCGCCCGTGGGCCCCACCTCGGGGTAGTGGAGCAAGTAGAGCACGGCCCACTTGAGCACGGTGGTGGTGGTCTCCACGCCGGCGCCGAAGATGTCCCCCACCGTCATGAGCAGGTGGTCRTCGGTGAGCGAGAGCCCCGGCGCCGGGGGGCTGCCGTGCTCAGCGCTCAGCCTCACTTGCAGGAGGGCGTCCATGAGGTCCCGCACSGTGTCCCCGCAGAAGGCCTCCTGCCAGGGGCCACCTGTGAGCTGTGCTGGGCAGGGCACGTGCCCCTGCCCCATGGCCAGCACTCCCAGTGCCACCCCTCCCAGTGCCACCAGCACCTTGTGTTCTGTGAACTTCTGCTGGAGCAGCTGGTCCCTGACCTTGAGGCACCTCTTCAGCAAGGCCAGGTCCTTGTTGGGGAAGATCTGGGGGAGCAAAAACACGGTCACACAAAGGCCTCCAGGTGTCCACGGGCATGGGCAGCTGCTTGCACCCACCATAATATCAGCTCTTGTGGGACACCTCTGCAGGGACCCCTCTGATGCCAAGGCCTCTGGTAGCCCCATCCGTGAGACACATCCCAGCCCGCTCACCTGGAGCCAGGGGAAGATGTCCACCAAGCTCTCCTTGGCCACGGTGTCCACGATGCCCTGGCTGTACTCCAGCATGGCCTCGAACTCGGGGTCCCCGCGCTGGTACGAGGAGTTGAAGCACAGCGAGCAGACCACGTTGGTGACAGCCCGCGTGAGCTCCGGCGCCACATCCAGCGCCGCGTCCTGCGCAGCGCTGAGCGTCTCGCACAGGGATGCGGCCTCACGGCAGACTGGGCGGCAGGCGAGGGGGAGATGTGGGAACTGTGAGGCCCAAAGCATCCCTGAGGAGCAAGAGGGGGCAGCTTGGGGTTCCCGGGGTAGTTTGGGGTTCCCGGGGCAGCTCAGGGCTGGGGCTGACCCAGGCAATGGGGCTCGTGTCCCTCTGGCTGCCCTGACGAGCCCGAGCAGGGGCTGAGCCCAGGGGGGATGCAAAGGGGACAAAGGGACAAGGGCTGGGGAGAGCTGTCCCCAGGCTGGGAATGAGCAGAGAGGACAYGGGACAGGCAAGGGCTTTATGCGAGGCACAACACTCCCTCCTGGCTGCCGCCCGGAGCCCRGGAATTGGCGTTTCCCAGCTGTTAGGGAACAGCTCCGCAAAAGGCAGCAGGGACACGCACGGGGACCCCCACGGGCACGGGCTCAGCGAGAGGCCAAAGCTCTGGCAGCCCAGACAGGAACGCGAGCGGCAACGCGCCAGGAAAGCCCCGGGAGGGGAGAGAGCAGCAGAACTGCGGGCAGGCAAACGGGGGGTGCCAGGGCTTGGGGCCGGCATGCACGGAGGGGGGAMCGAGCTGTGCCCTGAACCCTCCTCCCCAGCCCGAATCAGCCTCCCCTCGGCTCCCTGGGCACCGGGGCGGAGGCAGAGCTGCAGCTCCGGCYGCACGCGGGACGGGATGCAAGGAGGAGCCCCGCAAGCCCCCGTGCAGGCCAGGGTGCCCCCGGGACCCAGGGCACGCACGGGGCCGCGGGGGAGAGCGGGGGCACTCACTGATCTGCTCGAGGGCGAGCGAGCCCTCCCCGAACATGGAGAGCGCCGCGTGCACCAGCTTGCGCTGCAGCTTCCAGAGGGGCCCGTAGCTGGCGAAGGCGATGTCCTTGCCGCCCCGCGACAGCAGGTCCGTGGTCACCTGCAAACACACGGGCAGGGGCGCTACGGCGCGCAGCGGGATCCTGGATCCTTGGTGGCTATCCTGGGAGGCTTTGCCCAGTGCTCCAGGGAGCACGTTGGGTCAGTGCTGGGCAGAGATGGGCTCTGTGGCTCCGGGTGACCAGCCATGGCATTTGGGAGCTATGGGAGTCTGTTCGCAGCGTCCTGGTGGTACAAAGACCCACGGAGAGCTCACAGCGTCACAGGAAGGTYGAGGTTGGCAGGGGCCTCTTGGGATCATCTAGTCCAACCCCCCTGSTCCAGCAGGGACACCCAGAGCACAGGGTGCAATCCAGGTGGGTTTGGAAGATCCCCAGAGAAGCAGACTCCACAGCCTCCCTGGCAAAAGACCAGAGCGGGCACCCCACATGCCCCACTCGCAAAGAGGCACCAAGACCAGAGGCTCCACCTCGGCATGGAGCACGCGTGGGGCTGGGTCCCCCTGGCGCCCCTTCCTCGACCGCCCTGCTCCGGGGAGGGACAGGGAAGGGAGAGCGGCCGCTGCCGGCAGCCACGTCCTTCCCCCGGACCCTGCCGGGGCCGAGGGCCGGTCCCTGCCTCGCGTGCCCAACTCACGGTGCGGGGCCGCCCGGCGAAGGCCTTGCCCTTCTTGAGCAGCACCTCCTTGGCGTGGCGGTAGCTGTTGACCA